CTTAAAGCTGAAGCTTCATTTTTTGATACCACGGCTGCTGAGTCAGCTGTAAGTGTTTTGATTCTTATGGTGCACACACACTTTGATCTAATGCTAGTTTGGTTGAATGATTTGAATTGCCAATAATTGTTCTTTGTACAACAATGTGAAGGAATTATCATTTTTATGTAATTAGTATAGCCAGATTTCAGTTTCTTGTTGTTATTCAACTGATGTCAGTAGATTAAGAAACACAAGTTATTGATGTGCTTATGATTGCCTAGTCTACAACAGTGCCAAGATAAGGACCTGCACAGAGAGGGAAAGAGAGAGATTCCCTTTACTAGAATTGCTTTACTAGCAAGGTTGTAGCAAGGAAGCCATGAATTGTCTTTTTGATTCTGCAATCCCATATTGTTTTCTGAAACTTTTTGGATTTAAAAGTGAGGAATGATAATTCCTAATGAGCAATCTTGGCTCTTGGCACTGTCAAAAATTTTCATCTGGATGGTAACACTATTTGTGTCTTACTGTGCTATACAGCTACACTGGTCTTCTAATATGCTAGTGAAACTTCTCTTGTATATAGTTTTCACTTTAATAATTTCAAGCAATGTTCAACAGGAGGGTCTTGTGGAGATTAGGGAAGACTGTGTTGAGGAAACTTCTTACGGAGAGTCAGCTGCATCAGGCAAGTTTTCTTTTGATTTCAACTGCTATATTGTAATTCTTATTATTCTTGAATTGATTTTAGTAGAAATTTACTAAATCTAATTTGTGTTAAAAACCTAATTACCAGAAACCTGCTTAACCAATCAGAGCTTAGTAATCAGATTTTGAGCTTGATGAGGTGGCAGCAGGAAATTTTTGCTCAATATTTCATAGGTTTGTGGCTTGGTTTTGGGGTGAAAATAACTTCTCATGGGGCTATGTATATATTAGAAGGCTAGTTCCCTTATGTATGTATGTAATTAATTAATTTTGCATACATATATGTTATCTGAGAAGTTGTAGCACTTGCTCTCTATACCAAGCCCATCCTCCATTACTAAGATGACTATGGTGTCCAAATGTCATTGTCTTTTAGAATACTCCATGCTCCTGCCTTAAAAATAAAAATTATGTTTTTTTTTATATGCTCTGTGTATGTGTATATCCTGCAACTGGAATTAATTAGAAAAAAAAAAAATTACTTTCTTGTCGAATCACCACATACCAAAATGGGTAATATAAAGCTTTATACCATGATTAATTTTTCTCCTGTTGATGGTTACTCAATTATCATACACATATCACCACCAATGTGCATGCAAGATAAATTATGGAAACTTTCATGCAAATAATATACCAAAATATTTCCAGTCATATATTCATAGAAATTTGTGCTAATTTTCACAAAGTTAAAATAAAACAAACCAGTAGTACTATATAATGACAAGTCTACAGATATACAAATTTTTGAGAGGTGGGTATTGATTTTGGTCTGTGGGCTCAGAGGGGTTACAGATTTCATAGATTTGGGGGGGGGGGGGGGTGCTGGACTGGAGGTTGAGGTGGATGGACTGAGTCAACACTGATGGTGGTTGATAGAGTCATAGAGGAGAGGGTGGCAGGGGCTTGTTTGACATAGGGAGGGGAAAATATTGCAACCTGAAAAAGGGGTAGAATGTTCATGTGTGGAGGAGATAACAAGAACCGATGAATATACCTGGAGCTATGGAGAAGAAAACCTTGATTGGTGGTGAAAACGTAGAAAAGATGTCCTTAGCTCTTCCATTCCCATTCTTTTACCGAGAAAACTCCCACCTGAACAGTAAGAATGACTTTCATTCCAAACATCTTTTTCCCCTCAACCTAACACCCCCAATTGAGTTTATACAAATCTCTTTCAGAGGGCTTAGATGCTACCAAGAATGCTTCATGTTAAATTTGAAAAAATCCCTTTCAGTTTACTTTAGTTGTTTGATTATACCTTTATTTGAATATCTTTTGTCCTTACCTTTACTGATAAAAAAGAGCACCACTGTAAATTCCGAGATTGGAAAAATTGCTTAAGATATTAATTTCTAATTATCCTTGAAATTTCCAGGGGTCCCAGATGTTGAGTCTCATAGTTCTAAAGCCGAAGATGCTAAACAAGAAGTTGATGATGAAGAATATGCTCGTATTTTATCCCGGATGGCTGAACTTGAGAGAGAAGAAGAAGAAGCTGAAGAAGCCGACGAATCTATTGAAGATGAACCTGATGAGACCAACTTAGATAGAAGTATTCACCAACATGCCTTGGATCAACAAATTGCAAGTTTAGAGGTAATTTATATAGTAGGATATTGTGACTACAGATATTTAACTAAGGGGTGCACTTAATTGCATTAAATTTTCAAAGAACTCCATTTTATTTTATTTTTTATTAGTTGCATGATTTGAGTAACCTGACAAAAGGAGCGAGATCTTCAATAACTAACTCAAATGAAGGTGGAGTGACAGTGTCAAGAAATCACTCAAAAGATTTTTCTGGTCAGGTGCAAGTAAGGAACACCTCCTTGTTATTCATATCAAAGTTGCAAAGGTGAATTTGCCCGTCAATTATACTTCTGTAAATTAATATGTGAAATTTCAAACTCCAGGTCGAGGCTTCAAATGTCCGTGCTCTATCTGAAGGTTAGTCATGACTTAAAGCATAGAAAAAAAGAAAATTGTAAAATATGTGAAACCATGAGTTACTGAGCTTCAACACAAAGCCAGTGATTTACATACATTACACATTAAATCATCAAAATCCTGGCAGCTTTCATCACATCTCCTGATTATGCTGGACAAAACAATGAAATAATTTTCCCTTCTTTTCTTTGTGGTTTCTCCAATCAATAGCATCACATCTCTTAACATTTGCACTCGTTCAGATGATTACTTACAAAGAGAATGCTTGCCATTCCGTCCGCCAAGTTCAACTGATGTAACTCCAAGGCTTCCTGTAGTGAAGGACAATATCAAGGCTCCAGTTGTGTCGGAAAACAAGGTATCATGCAACTATCTTTGTCCCTTACCATCTCCCATCACTCTCACTTCTCCCCCTAATTCTTCTCTCTTCTTTTGAACTCTTGTCATCTTTCATGATTGACCATTAGCCTATCGTGATAATAAACAGTAAAAACAGGACAAAAATTTATTGGGATTCCGCAAGTGTTATCCATGTTGAAAAAGTAGGCATGATTGGCGTATAACCTTAATATATAGCGATATTGTTTTGTAACTGATATGCTAGCATAAGGGTAAATTTTTATTTTTATTTTTCCCAATATTTGTATCCCACTATAATGGCAACTCCAAAGGTATTAGATATTAACAATCATGCAAATTACATTTGATTTCACTTGAATCACTTCATCATTGTCACGATCACAATGCAGTTTGTTTTCCCTACTTCAGAAGCATAAATCACAAGGCTGTAAGAAGTATAACATGATGGATTGATGGTTAAATATATCTTTTCCTGCAGGCTGTGGTAAACACCACCGAACAAAGCTTTGATGTTAGCAAGGTATGCCCAGCTCATCATTTCTCCCGATGTGCTTAGATGAGTTCAGTATGAGCTGATAATATTGTGTGCAGGCATTTACGGGCTCTATCGTGGAACATTCACCTAACTTTGATACGCAACCAAGAGAGCAAGTTGTTGGTCGTGCCTCAAAGCCAGTATCTAGATTCAAGATGCAGAGGAAGTGACTGTGGGGTTTGGACATCCTTAAAATATATGGATAACCTCCGTTGCGGCTAGGAGAATGAATTTTTTTTAATTTTTTAATTTTTTTGGGTACTACATTGGTATTTTGTCAAGTCTTGGTAAGGCCCATTTAGAGAATGAACTTTAGACAACCACTAGTGGAACTTTGATCTCCAAATTAGACATATTTTGGGTATCACAGACTATGTTGTACAAACATTAGGTAAAATTTTGGGAATGTATCTTTTGTGAATCTTTTTTATTTCCCAATTATAAAAATTATTATTATTTTTATTATTAACAATTTCTATTCCTTTTTTTTAGTGACGAGGGAAACTCACAGCCATTACTGTGTACACTCGGTAAACTTCACTTTGTGACCTTAACTAGGAAAGAAGCATAAAAATGTAAATTAACTTAAAGTTGTTCATAGTAATAAATTTTATACAAGTCAAAGCATTAAATGCTTATTGAAATCAGATTCCTAAAAATGCAACACAACTTAGGTAAGTTTTGATTTTCCATAACTCCATAAGTACAGACTTCGCTAAATATTTCCACAATCATAGTCTATCCTCCATAAATATGCGAGTCAAAACCGCTTTGCATCTCCATGCCAGTTGTTATACCATGGATCAGGGTGCACTTTGTAAGGTGAATATTGGTTTTAAATTGTGTATTTTTAATATTGAAATTGTGAACATTTAGAATATAAAAAATTGTGTTTTTAAGTTATGAGAATTTGTGAATACAATACATAGTCATCACAAATTGTGAACATTTATATGTAAATTGTGTATCTTTGGACTCGGGTCCACAGAATAATTAGCCTCTCCCAATTGTTATATTATAGACTAGAGTTCATTTTGCATTATGAATCTTTGTTTTTAGAAAAAATTGTGTCTATAATTATTGTCATGTGCTTTCAGTTAATAAAAACAATAAGCAAATAATATGTTAATTTCATATTATGTATTTATGTTTATGCAATTCACATATTATATGTCTAGTTAACGTAATATGTACCTTCAATGTCCATGGTATAATTTGCCAGGTGTGTTGAGGATTCTGGACACGAATGAAAATCACCCTCCTTGATTTTCATTCCATGTGTATGATTATTAATGCATGAAATTCATGAAACTGAACGAAATACAATTTTTTAAAGATAATTTTACATCAAGTAGTGAAAATTTGTAATAATGATGGTAGTCAATAATAAAAAAAAAAAGTATTATTCAGACAAAATTACAAACAATTCGTTGTAGGATAATATCTATTATGAGTATACGCGTTATTTAAGTCCAATAACAAAACCATTATATAACATCCCTAAAATAAAATATTTTATTACTAAATATAAAATATCAAACCCGTTAATTATCTAGCTTTTTCCTAATCATTCTTCCACATTTCTAGGCCATCTGTAATCCCTTAATTAATTACTGCTCTCTAATCTTTCCCAGTTTATACTATACCCTTTTCTTCTCTGATCTATCCAGGCCACCAGCCGCTCCTGTTTGTATTGAACTTTATTAATTTGGCCCTATTGAGGCTTTTGAGATTTGAGGTTTTTGGGTTGTTAATCTGATCTTTTCACGGTTTTAGACCGACTGAGAATGGTGGAGTGTGGTCGAAGTATGATGGTGTGGGTGGGCTTTATGTGTGTGATCTTCACGGCGTTAATCTGCTCAAGTGAAGCCCGGCCGCCGCGCACGTTCCATGCCGGCGGAAGAGATGGGTGGAGGTTGCTGCCGGATGATGGGTTGAATCGCTGGGCTGATAAAAGACGCTTCCGAGTCAATGATACCATCGGTTTGTCATCTCATCTTCTTTCCTTCACTTTATATTGTATGCACGCTACAATTGGTGAATATAATGTTGGATTCATGTTCTATGTACTACAATTATTTTGGTGTTGTAGATTAATGAGACGTTCACAATTAGATAATGATCGATAGACTACTAGCTAATAATAAGTCCCGACTCCAATACACCTTGACCCTATAGATAGACTACTAGCTAATAATAAGCCCAACCCTATAGAAGCAGTTGAACTGGCCCGGTACCTAATATCCACAAGGGATCGCCTTCATAAAATTAGGAGGATTCTCATGGTGACTAAATCTGTGGGGCGGGGTACGATCACCCTCACAAGAAACGTAGTTACTTAGTTGGTCTGAATTAGGTAACGAGACCTTCATAAAATAAGGTGAAATTCTCATGGTGACTAAATCTGTGGGTTGAGGTACGATCACCCTCACAAGAAACGTAACTACTCAGTTGGTTTGAATTTGGTAATGATCGATAGACTACAAACTAATAACTCCACTACCCCTTAACCAACTCCACTACACCCTGACCCTATAGAAGCAATTGAACTGGTACCTAATGTCCACAAGGGATCACCTTCATAAGATCAGAAGGTTAAGGTTAAAGGTTAAATTACTAATTAATCTCATAAGATCACCCTTATAAGAAAGGTAGCTATTCAGTTGGCCTGAATTAGGGCTTGTTATTGAGTTGGTCTGATACCCAATATATAATAATAATAATAATATAATAACTATTGAATAGAATTTTGTATGTAGGTGTTAATTAGCTAGGTTTAATGTTCCATGTCACTCAATGCAACCACATATATTCATGCATGAGTATATATATCATGTTCATAAAATCACTATCTCTCTAGTAACTAACAGTGAAAATGCATGCATGCATGCATGTTTGAATGATGTTTGATTTATCATATCCAGTATTCGAGTACGAGAAAGGAAAGGATTCAGTGCTGGTAGTGAGGAAAAGAGCATACCACCATTGCAACAAAACTAGTCCAATTCACACCATGACGGACGGCTTTTCAACACTCAAGTTTACCAGGAATGGCCCTTTCTACTTCATCAGCGGCTACGCTCAAAACTGCCTCAACGGCCAGAAGCTTCGCGCCGTCGTTATGTCTCCCAATCACCGCCCCTCCCCTCTTCCTGCACCCCAGACACCGCCGCCTGCTTCCACTCCTCCGGCAGCCTCACCGTGGACGTCGCCCTCTCCTTCTCCATCTGCCAAGACTCCGCCACCGCTTGCTTCCACTCCTCCGGCAGCCTCACCGTGGACTCCTTCTGCCGAGACTCCGCCACCGCTTGCTACCAGTCCTCCGGCAGCCTCACCGTGGTCGCCCTCTCCTTCTCCTTCTGCCGAGACTCCGCCGCCGCCGGTTAACACTCCTCCGGCAGCCTCACCGTGGACATCGCCCTCTCCTTCTCCATCTGCCAAGACTCCGCCGCCGCTTGCTTCCACTCCTCCGGCAGCCTCACCGTGGACGTCGCCCTCTCCTTCTCCATCTGCCAAGACTACGCCGCCGCTTGCTTCCGCTCCTCCGGCAGCCTCACCGTGGTCGTCCTCCCCTTCTCCATCTGCCAAGACTCCGCCGCCGCTTGCTTCCACTCCTCCGGCAGCCTCACCGTGGTCGCCCTCTCCTTCTCCATCTACCGAGACTCCGCCGCCATCTCCCTCCCCTAACGTACCTGCACAGCCGCCACCGCCCCCTTCCTCCGCCGGAGACGGATGGATCACGGCGCCCGCCCCACAAAAGGGTTCGAGCCCGAGCTCGGCACTCATATCTTGGGGCTTGACAATGGCGGCAGGCATCCTCATTTCCCTGGTTTAACCATCTAGCTAGATTTCATACTTTTTCTGCTTCGTTTTCATCAGGATTATTTCATTAATTATTTGCAGAAACTCCGATTCCTTCTTAATAATATACCATAATTTTTTTTTTATTAAAAAAAAGTCATCTAAAAATTATTTTATTTTATCCACAAAATTCAAAGAAATAAAAAGAAATTTAGTGTATCATATGATCCAAAGGAAATGAAGCTATAAATTAAAACTAAAACTAAAACAAATTCAAGAAGTCTGCATACCCGCTTAATTAAAACAAACAAAAATAAAGAAATAATCTCTTTTTTTAGTGGTTAATTGATTACTTAATTAAGGAGTAATATAACGACTGAGAATTAGAGGAGGAGGAGGGAGAGGATAATGAAATATATCTGGAAATCTGGAATTGAATCGTCGCGGTGTTCTTCGTCTTCATCTTCATCTTCATCTTCAACCTCCTCTGGCGCAATGCGTGATCATGGAGCAGCCGCGGTTGTAGGGATTGACTTTCTGGTGCGTGTGGCAGTTGTAGTACGATCTGCCGCGCGCGTTGCAGGGGATGCTATTGGCGGCCAGCGCCGCGTAGCTGATGTACTTCGTCTGCCCTAGAACTCGCCGGCTCATCCCCAACTCCATCGCCATCTCCTCGTCCTCGAACACGCAGTCGTCTCCGATCACGTTGCCGGTGCACTTCCTCGGCCGGGTAGGGGTGGCGTGGTTGCCGTGCACCATCAATAGCTGCGGCTGGTGGAAGCGGTGATTGTCATTGTAGGTCGGAGACGGTGGCGACGACTCTGCGACTCTAATGGATGTTACGACTGATAATGTCAGAACCACGACGATTGACGATCGGAGATCCATTGCAGGTGATGGGAATGGAGAGTGCAGAAATTCAAGTAGGGTTAGCTACAAGAGTTAGTTATTTGACTTCATCTTCTGCACTTTTTACGAACAACCTCCGCTTCTGCCTCCATATATAATTATTTGCGATTTAAGGTTTTAAAAAAAATAAAAATAAAAATCAGGCTTATAAATATTTACAAAGATAAACATTTCTTGCAGTCAGACATAAAACAACTTTCCTAGTAATGCTACACAAAACTTGATTCGTTACAAATTTAAAGCTGAATTCTTTGGAGGAACTTAAAACTTCTTTAATGATTTGGTCAAACATACCCAAGACTGACACTCGTTGAATAGTCTTGCACACCGCCTGAGTATCTATTTTCATTATGCTATCCATTGACAATATCTCCATCGGGCTGAACTACATATCATAATTCAGAGGAGAGTCTCTTTTTCATTATCATGTTTGTCACCCTGGATGAGATTCACATACTCCATGACCAGTTTTATCATTTCACGCTTTATGAAAAGAACTTGCCAAGTAAACGAAAGGAAGAAACTCGTCAAAACAACGAGAGAAAAAACACAGAAACTGCAAACAAAATTAAACCAGTAAAACAAAGCAAATGGACACAACAATGCGAAAATAAGGGAGTAACGACCGGTAGCGATGGAGATGGAGGGGTGGGACAAGGCGTAACCGGTGGCGAAGGCGGAGAATGGAAGAGAAGACGGTGAAGGCAGAGAAGACAATGAAGGCGGACGCTATCTGCAGTAGAGATGACGGCAGGGGAAGACGATTGGACGTCGCCTCCGATCCGCTTGCTTCACGGAGGCGGCGACCGTGTAGAAATTTGAGTGGTCGAAAACCAAAGACGAGAGCGAATTATGCATAAACCTAAATATACTAAAATGGGTCATGCTAATGGCTATACACTTTTTTGTAATCAATAAGGCTGTGTTTGGAATGATTTATGAAAATCATTTATAAGTTTGCTGTGTTTGGAAAATGGGAAAAATACTAAAATCAATGGAAATCAATTTTCGATCAAAGAAAAATCAAGTTGGTGTTTTGGAAAATGACTTCTCTTTTCTTGGGGAAGTCATTCTCCATCCCCGGACGAACCTGCATCAATGGTTTCCGTCGGGAACCCGTCTCTGGTTCCTAAGGGAAACAAGATTAAATATGGTCGATCTCCAGCGGAAACCAGTTCGAAGTCGATTTATGATTTTTTTTTTTTTAATGAAAAAACATTGTTCATTTTTTATTTTTTTTTATAAATAACACTGATTTTTTTTTAATGAAACCAGTATTTAATTATACAATTATGCTCATTTTCTGGAAAATAAATCAAACACAGTAAGACAGTTTTCTAAAATGCAACCAAACACTGGAAAAGAAAAATATTTTCTGGAAAATAAGTCATTTTTCAAAAAATATTTTTCAGAAATCATTTTTCTGATTTATAAATACAACCTAATTTGAATTTGTTAAGTACAATATTATTTAGTTAAATATGACATAACGTTAGTTGTGATGCAAATAAACATACAATTGGGATTGTCATGCTCTAGCTAGGCCATATATTATGGGTTGATAGTTTGGGGGTTGTTGAAATTGAAGGAAGATTCATAATGAGAGTAGAGATGGGCACCGGCAACACTCCGACCTTGTCTAGCGATCCAATGACTTTTGAATTAGGATTAGGTATGCACTTTTTTTTTTTTTTTTTTTTTTTGGGGGTGAAAGATTAGGTATGCACTTTTATTCATAATGAGTCATGCTAATGGCTATAAATTTTTTGTCATCAATAATTTGAGTTTGGTAGGTACAGTATTATTTAGTTAAATATCACACATGCCATGTTTGATATATAACATAGTAGTTTATCAGTCAATTTTGACTTATTTGACTACTATTAGATGTTTAATTTGGTTAAACATTCAATACAAATGTTTGATTAATTAGTTTTTTGTAACAATTTATTGTTCTAAAAATGTTAAAATTCAAAAAGTTGTTCAATTCAAAACAACTTTTTCGATAAGCTTTGTGAGAAAGTCATTTTGTATGTTGTAATCAGCTATCAACTAACAGTTAATTTATCAATCACATTTCTACAATCAGTTAATAATATCAACTAGTCAAATCGTCAAACTCACTAACTCAATCAGCTAACAACTATTATCAAACACCCCATAATGTTATTTGTGATGCAAATAAACATAAAATTAGAATAGTCACGGGTCTGATTGTCATGCTCTATGCCATATATTATGGGTTGATAGTTTTTTTTTTTTTTTTTTTTTTTTTTTTTGGGGGGGGGGGGGGGGGTGGTGAGTAGTTGAAATTGAACGAAGATTCATAATGAGAGTGGAGATGGGCAACACTCCGACCTTGTCGAGCGATCCAATGACTTTTTGAATTAGGTTTAGGTATGCACTTTACATAGTGGGAACAATATGGGTAGATTATTGGATGATATCTGTAGTGACGTTTTCAGAGTTCATGTATTTGATAGTCTTTTTTTTTTTTTTTTAAAGGGAAAAATTTAATTCATTAAATCGGCAGAAAGGCAATCAACAAGAAAGAGAGGAAGATTGTCAAATCATTCCCCGCAACCTGACATAAAAACGGTTTTCCTAGCAACAGTGTGAGCAACACGATTCGCAGGTCGCTTGACAAAACAGAAGTGTACATCATTTATCGTAGATGCAACTTCTTTTATATCAAAATAAAACCAAACATAGACACAAAAGAAAACGAACATAAAACATGAAAAACTAATTGAGAATCCATTTCAACATCAACATCACCCATTCCCGTTTCCTTAAGCCAGCTCAGCGCTTCACGAACACAAACCGCTTCAGCCTCTTTTATTCCATAATTTCCAGTGAGACATTCTTTTAGCAGCCAAGAAATGTCCCTAGGCCCATAGTATTATGATTTTGATCAAGCGAGACATCAGTATTCAGCTTCAAACGACACCGATTCGGCTTTGACCATTTTTCCTTCACCCCTCGCATCGCCTGGTTCTGTGGTTGCCTCTCGTTCACAGCCTTCCAGTTGGCTAGAAAATTAAGTTGCACGCACAAAGTGTATTTGATAGTCTTTTATGTTGTATTGAAAAACAAATGCTTAATGATAAAAATTAAAAGTCAAGTGGATGAAGTATGATTTTCGTATCTAAAAATTAGGATTTTGATTTTTGTCATTACTCTCTTGGTCAAGTCTGTCTTACAGGATTCTTTCTAGTGTGATTTACTTCTCAATCTGTAATTTATGAGCTATTACACAGATATAAAGTTACTCAATATACACTCTTTTAGTTAACGGTTGCGAATTTTACTCGTCACTAAAAAAAAGATACTCTATAGTAAAATTAGAAGCAATAAAAATAATCAATACATCACCAATAAATAAAAATGAAGGTAAAATAGAACTAAATTTTGTGAGTGTACAAAAAATCTAAAATTACCCTCAACACTTGTCCACGCAAAGTAATAATAAGAACAACAACAAAAACAATAAGTTAAATTACCAAAAATATGTAATAATAAATTTGATGTGGTGCGAAACCAATGGGCCTAGAGTCCAAGAAGGAAGGAGATTAGAAGGGATGAAGGTTTGGCCCACAAAAGATCAGCCCAAACAAAGAGAGAAGGGAAGCCCAGAGAGAGGTATGGCCGAGTCCTAGGGGTCGGCGCGAGCAGATAGTCGGCGCGAGTAGATGGTCGGCACAAGTAGAGGTCGGCCCAGCAAATAGCCGTTGTTATTTAAGAGTCACCTTCAATGCGTGGTCAAACAGGCCGTTGGGAGGCCCAGCAACGACAACCCAACGATCCTTAGGTTTAATAAACTTCATTATGGCACTTCAATGTATGCATTTAAATTACCAAGGGTAACCCACTATAAAAGAGGCCCTTAGAGAATGTAAAAGAAGCCAAGTCGAGACTTGCCAAAAAGAGTATAAGCAAAGTATAAGATTTATAGTCATTCTCCTTTAAGAGCTCATAGCTTTGTTTGAAAGGTGAATCCATCAATCACGGTTGTGTTGGATCTCCCTGGACCCAAAAACCCTAAAACCAACAAAATTAATTATTACACAAAATAAGTTATTTCTCAAAAGCCAAAATAAGTTATTCCTCAGAAGCCAAGATTATTCATGTTCATTATCTCATTTTTATGTGTATGCATATTATGAACATGAATTCTGTACTTTATGAAGTTAAATTCCATGTAATAGATCAGGGTCCACAGTGGTCCACGATATAATTTGCTCTTTCGCTGAGGCGTTCCTTTGCCCAAAAAAGATTTAATGGAAATGTCACGGGTGAGAAAGATCTTGTTTGTGTTTTCTACGTTTATCTTATCCTACTGATATAAAAAAAAAAAAATTGATAGTAAAAAAAAGGAAGGATAAATAAAAATTAATGTATTGTACCTAAAAAGAGAATGCATCATTTATTTTGGTCACCACTCACCACATTGACTTACCTTCTACCGTCCATTAATTACAATGTTGGTGGAACAATGTCATGTCTATTAATGCTGTTTTGAATTGAATGGAATTATATATGGGCTTATCTCTTTGGTTGCATCACACGCCACAGCACTTAATGCCTTCATTCTAGCTTGCTCTTACAACTGATAGATAAGTGTGTCGAATTGTCATTGCTTACAGATAAGTATAGTTTGTTGTTTTCAAAATGATAAAGCATTTTTTAATTCATAATCATAATTACAAACATATCTCTTGATTTTTTTTTATTTTTTATTTAGTCATTAATCATCTTAGATAATTAGATACAATTAGTACATATGTTCTTAAGCGAAACCAGGCCATTTTCTTAGTTAAACATGTTTTTATAAGAGACTAATATGATTCATCTATTTAAGTATATTAATATACGGTTGTGAGTTGCTAAAAATAAAGGAAAAAAAGAGGATTAGTTTTATAAATTTGAATCCAGGCCACACACACATACTGGTTCAGTGAGGATAGGGCTTCATGTGTGGCTGGTGCAGATTGCATCTTTAAGTATGTATAAATGCACCACGCAGTGTTCGAAAATGTACAAGTAGACAACAAAATGCACCACACACAAAAAAATGTTCACATCTAATAGTGTATTTTCGAACACTTTGTGATACATTTATGCATAACGAATGGTGCGTGACAGTTCGGGAACCTGACCATATATATATATATATATATATATATATATATATATATATATATATATATATATATATATATATATATATATATGGCACATCAATTATTGGCAAGTTGTTACAAGTCCTTTCAATAATGTCCATCATATCGTCTTCTTAAAAAAGCAAAGCATTTCCAGCTACTTTGGCATGCACAACAGTTTGATACATTATTATTCATGAAAATCACCATAAATTTATCGAATCACTTGTAATTTATATTTCATACTTAATAGACGGATTTTATGAGAAAAAAAATTGCTCGATTTTCATACAATGTAATCGTAAGATATACTATAAATATATTACGAGTATATTTTATAATCAAATTACAGTTGGTTTAATTTGGATTGAGTCTTCATGTGCATACTACTATACATTGAACTTCCCCTGTCATGAAAGTATCATTAACCAACCACCAACGTAACAATATATGTGAGCATTAATCATGGTTCGATTATATTATATACCCACGGCGGCTTACAATTTACATTATTACAACATTATTACTCTTACCAAGTTGTCATCACAATAATATTAAACAAACAAAAATAACTAATATTATATGTATCACCACGTATATTTTATTGTATTTTTAATTCAATTTTGATGTTGCATACTTTTATTGATTCAGAATAAAAAGTGGGTCATATATATTTTGAATATATGGTAATCGCGTAAATGACATTGGGGTCTAGAGGTTGCTACGCTGTCAATAATGAAGTAGAGTAAGGGTGTATAAATAGTAAGTCAATCGATCAGGTAAGTTAACAGTGAAGTAGAGTAAGGATGTATGTACGTAGTGAAATGAGTACAAGATGTAATGACAGCGGGATAAATCGAATTATTTATACTATACATAATGAAGTCAACATATACTAAGTCTGTCCACTATTATGTCTCTATACACGTCGGTCTGTAAGTCGATTAATCAATTTAGTTGTTCTTGACCTGGAGCAACACTCTTATAGGTTTTATTTTCTCATGTGATGGGCAATAGTGCAATATATATCCACTTTCTTTCTCCAAAAAGAATTACGTCCAACTGTATTACTGTATAGCAGTATACAGCCCATTAAATTTTTATATTTCTTTTAACGGTGGCCATGGAAATTAAAGTATAGAAGCCATTATTGTTGGAGCTGTAATGTAATGTATGGTAGTAATAAATGGGAGAATGGAAGAATACAACAACACCCTCAACTTTATCTCTCTCTCTCCCACTTTCACTATTACTCTTTACAGCTGAAGTTTCATTTTTTTTCCGTTCTTACTCACAAAAGGTAAAACTTCAATTCCTCGTCCCAAGACTCTCCACCTTAACCTAATAGTACTATGGAGAGATAAATTACTCTAACTTAGTGGCTCATTAGTTAAGAAAATCGATGTGAGGTACTTATAAGTTAAGAGCCTACAACATTAGATAAAACTCCTACAATTTAATGTTTAAGAGTTCGATTATATGTTTTTGCTTGTAATCTACCATTTAAAAATCAATATGTGTGTCTATGCAAACAATTTTTTTTTTTCCTTTTCTTCTTCTTCCAAAAGGTTGAATCCCCAATTCGTGACTCAATAGTTCAACAGATCACAGACAAAGTTATCGAGATTTGAACCTTAATTCTTTGTCTCAAATACTGCCTACCGAACAATTGAAGGATTTTTTTTTTTCTTACTCAGGTAAAATGCATGAGAGATTGGGGATATGCATTATTGCAGCAATTAATACCGACATACCCACCATACATGGCGACCAATACTTAAGGAAGATGGAAGTTTTATCGTCTGCAGCCATACAACAACATCGAACTTCAGAGATTCATCAATGGAGTTCATCGAGGAAGAAGAATCATACTTCCCTGTCAGCCCCACTGGCCAATACTTCAACAGCTCGGTTCTATCCATCGGTGTTCTTGCTGTGTTGGAGTCTGAAGTTCCCATTGATGATTCCCAGACCATTCCTTTGATTAATGATGTTTTTCTCCCCATTAATCCCAGGTTTTCTTCCATTATGGTACCCTCTCTCTCTCTACTATGGTGTCAATTGTATTTTTACTTCAATCTTGCATGCTTAATTCACTATTGGAAATTATGAAATTTCCGACCACCTGAAAGTGATCTTAAATCAAGTTCATATCAAAAAGTGGTCGGATCACTTTCAGGTGGTCAGAAATTCCATAATTTCCAGCCGTGATTTTGCATTTACTTTCCTTTCCTTTCAATCATTTTCCTGATGTTTACAAGTTTTGAACCAAAAAAAAAAAAAAAAACAGGTTATAGATGAGAATGGTGATAAACAATGGAAGAAAGTGGAAGTGAAGCCCAAAAACCATATAAAAGTGCCAGTTTTCCCAGAAGGGAAATCAGCTTCCTTCTACGACGATTGCTTCAATGATTACATATCCAAGGTTGCAATGGAGCCTCTTCCACCAACGAGGCCATTATGGGAAATTCACATCGTCAAATACCCGACGACCAACGCCGCCGGGAATCTCGTCTTCAAGCTCCACCACGCGCTCGGCGACGGCTTCTCTTTAATGGGGGCGCTTCTCTCTTGCCTGCAGAGGGCCGACGACCCTTCCCTCCCGTTAACTTTTCCGGCGTTCAAGGAGCCCAAAATGGGGCATGACGGAGAGGGAATCTGTAAAAGTGTGCCCAGACTTCTCTCCGGGATCTTCAACACCATCTCGGATTTTGGGTGGAGTTTGATGAAGAGCACTTTTCTTGAAGATGACCGGACCCCCATCCGCTCCGGCGACGACGGAGTGGAGTTCCGGCCCATTGATCTTACTACCGTCTCCTTTTCTATTGATCGAATCAAGCAAATTAAGGTCAAGCTTGAAGTGGTAAGTCCTAATATTTCCGTAATTATACACGTTATTACTTATTGTTCTTTAATTATTTACAAACATAACTAGCAAGGACCACAAGGGACTCTAATATTTAAAAAGTTTATCCAGTAGATAGAGCATGATCCTCATATTTAAATATTACGAATTTGATTCCCCTATCTTATGGTGTTCACATAGTAAACTCTGCCTTGTGACCCTAACTAGCAAGGACCACAAGGGACTCTCATATTTAAATATTACGAATTTGATCTCAATATTTTATGGTGTGTATGGAGTAAACTATGTCTTGTGACCCTAGGTCCGACAATGACCACAATGATGTAAACTAGCCTAGGTTGCTCATAGTTGACTAGCTCAATCCAAAAAGGTCAATAAGCTACTCCCGAGAGTTAAACTTGAAATCTTGTAGTTATCAACTCACACATTCGACCAACTTGGTTGGAACTGCTACACAAATTTGATTCTAGCTTGTCCCTCCCGATCAAGCCCTCGCAAAGAGTTTTCCTAATTTTGTTTACCTTACATAGTTACATGGGCACTAAGTAAATCCAATATAATGCACCCTATTGAATATGGAATAGTAATTACAGGTTTCGCTCGTAATTCAAAAAAATAATTTTTTAATTATCCCACAGTTCTATTTTTATTGGGTAAAAAAAAGTCACTTACACAATTGATGAACTAAAAACAATTACTTTGACTATAATTACAAGATGAAAAATGATAACAATATAATTGAGTGTCATTTTTCTATTATTTTATAGTTATATTTATCATATTATTTTTTTTCATTTCATAAAAAAACTAAAAAAATGTGCCAAATAAAATATATTTTTGAAGTTAAATGAGAGAAAGAAGGTTAACTTGGAGTAGTTGGAAGTTTGGTGGTGAAAGTACTCCCACTATTCCCTAGTTCCTACCTCTGTACGGCTGTACACTTGTAGTGTTGGGAAGTTTATTAAGGATATTTATGACCGTTTTGTTTGGTCGACACTATACTCAACAAAAATCTGAATGTCAGGAATGAGCTAAGTAACATGTTAGAAGTCGCGATTTATTTAGGACCGAAGTAATTCTGAATCAATAAAAAAGGTTTAAATTTAAAAATTTCTAGGTGTAAATTAGAACTGTTGTGTAAAAGATTGGCCCCGATCTGAAGGCTAGTTTTGATCCACCTATATGATAAAAGAATCAAGATTTAAGCCCAAGTATGGAACTAACTCGAGGCCCATGCCCATAACACTCTTAGAAATTATGAAATTTTCGACCAACTGAAAATAATCTTAAATCAAGTTGAAAGTTTTGTTCCGACCACTTTTGATATCCAGAAAATCCTTTGTTGTTATTTTCGACTTGATTTAAGATCACTTTCAGATGGTCGGAAATTCCATAATTTTCAATTGTGTAACTAGCCCATTGAAAGGTTAAGGATTCGAATATCATAACAATGATAAAAGTCGTTTCATACATTGCACTATGTGTTACACTTTTTTCGACTAACAATTTAAATTTTTATCTTGAAATCTGTGCAGACGATTAACGATGTGATTTGTGGAGTAATATTCTTGGGGACTCGATTGTACATGGAAGCAACCAACCAAGAGCAAAGAAATGGGAATGCCACTGCCCTAGTGCTGCTCAACACCAGGAACATTGGTGGCTACAAATCCACCAAAGAAATGGTGCACCCAAACATGGAGTCCAAGTGGGGAAACCAGTTTGCATTCATGCATGTTTCTGTCCCACAATTGCCTCATACCAACACCTCAAACGCCCTCCATTTTGTATCCCAAGCTCGAGAAATCATCCACCGGAAAAGAAATTCCTCCGCCGTTTTCCTCACCGGAAAAGTACTGGATGCTCTGCGTAAACACCAGAGTCCCGAGGTACCTAATTAAGTTCTCTTAGCTTTCTCTATATGTATTTTTTGAAAAGTTGGAGATTTGATGTTTGGTGGTGTTGAATTGTTAGGCCACGGCTAAATTTGTGCATAGCACCTTGAAGAACTCTAGCATGACAGTATCAAATATGATTGGACCAATTGAGAAATTGGCTTTGGCTAATCATCCCATCAAAGGCATTTACTTCATGGTTGTTGGTGTTCCACAGGTACGACAACATTCATATATTCTGAAATAAGTTTATAAGTTTCACTACTGGAAATTATGAAATTTTCGACCACCTGGAAGTGATCTTAAATCAAGTCGTAAGCAAAAAGTGATCGGAAATAGCAATAAAGGTTTTTCCGGATACCAAAAGTGATCGGAACAAGGCTTTCGACTTGATTTAAGATCTCAAGTGGTCGGAAATTCCATAATTTCCAGTAGTGTTTCTGGAGGAAGTTTGACCACTTAGGTTGTGTTTTGGGGGCAATCTTGTCTTTTGTATTTAGTATTCATCGAGCCGTGCTTGCTGTTATTATTATTCCCTTTGTCCCATTTTGTGTGTCTGGTTCTGTTTTTTCCCTTGTTAATATCTATAGTGTTTCTAGTTCTTTCACTTGTTAATATCACAACAACAACAAAAAAAAGGTTTAATTTTTCTTATGTTTAATGAAAGATTGTTTTGATGTTGAATGCAGAGTCTCACAATAACAATGGTGAGCTACATGAGAAACCTGAGGGTTGCAGTGGGAACTGAAAAAGGACTCATAAATCCTCAGAAGTACAAGGATTGTATGCAGTGTGCCTTCGACATGATTTTCGATGCTGCCGTAGGTTCTGGTGTGCAGGAAAATAATGCTTTTAATAATTTATACTAATAAAATACATTTATTTTTCTTTATTTAATATTCTTTCCTAATATATCTATATACTTGAATTGTATAACAGATACTTTTTTTTTCCTATTGGTTGTAACTTGTAAACTTCATTTTCTTAAAATCATATATGCATATTGGTTGATGTTCTGCAAGTGATTGAATGTAGTCCTATTTCATTTTGTGTATCTTTACATATTTTTCTGAAATTTCTAGAGGGACCAATGGCTACAGATTATTCGATTATTATGAAATAATGGCTTAAATGGATCGATATTGACTCTTTGTGCTTCAATAGGTTGAAAAAGTAATTATAAACAAATATTACATTATAACAGTCAGTAGTACTAAAAAGAAGGAAAGAGCTCTAAATTAAATATATTTACAGTTGAATGAAAAAAAAAAAAAAAGGAAGAAGAAGAAGTAGTAATTGGCATATTTAGTCAGTTTCTTATCAATTAAAAACTGATAAACTGTGATTTGAGGTATACTAGCTAACTTGGTGCTAATGTGTAAGTGCATAAAGTTTCTCACATCTTGGCTCTGTCTGGCAGAGCTTATTTGACAGCTTATAATTTATTTTAACCTACTAATAAGCTATAAATTCTATTTGGTGATGTTCTCAAATAAGCTAGTAGCTTAAAATAAGAGCTTATTTTAGAACGCTACCTTAGATAGCGTTTCAAAATAAGCTAGTAGCTTCCTAACTTTTTTTTCCCTCCATATTTGTTCTTATTACTTTAAAGAAAAATGGCATCCTTTATCATTCCCAATTAAAATCCTTTTCTGTTCTCCTTTATCCGCAACTTTCACCGCAATTATTATTATTATTATTATTATTATTATTATTATTATTATTATTATTATTATATGAAAAAGATTTGCAACAATATTGCTACTTCATTATGTGATGCTAGATCATGATTATGCTAATAATTTTATTTCAAAATGTTAATTTTTTTTGAAGACAAAATGTTAAATTTTAATATGTAAATAAACTAATTTAAATTTTATGAAAATGTCATTTTTTGTCTTTTTACATTTATCAGCTTATCAAAAAACTAATTTTACCAAACATTTTCAAGCATAACAGCTAACTTAACAGCTCTTCAGTTTTCAACCCTAGCTTATAGTTTTTGAGCTTTCAACTCCTTTTAAGTTTTCAGCTACCTTTTCAGTTATGTTTGCCAAACATAGCCCTTGTCTTGTGTCTGTATAGTATCCCATATGCAATTATTTTTAAAAAATTAAACAAATTATTTTAAAAAATAACAAAAACTTTGTCTTCCAAATCCTAATGGACATGCATAACCGTCATTCCAAATCTCCCAAAGGGCGGATTCAGAAAATTATTGAAGTGGAGGCAAAGTTCATAATTAATTATTAAGGCAAGTTCTTCCCGTAAGTACATCACATTGTAAGACCTTGTACGTACACATGAGAGATAAATTACATCTTCTTCTTCGCACCCCCCGTTCATGTAATAACCAACATACTGTACATGACGTAGTAAGAAGACCTTGTCGCACACATGAGAGATAAATTATACTACTCTAAAAAGCTACGACCATGCATGTGCGATAGGCTCAACAGAGAGATTATCGACAAGAAACGAACTTGTAACTTTTAAGTATAATGATCATACTTCACTCCCTTGAAAATTCCTTACGAGGCGTCTTTGCTATTTTTCCACTTGATGGGTCAGTGACTTATTGCTCCTTTCACAGGATCCAAACATAAAAACTTGTTTAACTAGAATTAAAATCTTTTATAACATTCGACATTCATGTTACTGTGAGACTAATTTAGTCCAAGTCAAATTTTTAGAAATAGATTGGTGTAACCCAAAAAAATTAAAGATAACTCAGTAGTCTGTTCCGATCCCCACTGGACCATTGCAGACAAGAAGACCGTTTTTAATGTTATGTTACATTCATATGTGTAGAAACAGCTGGAAGCCGTATTTAATTTGTTGACTTGAATGCCATCTCTATTATCTACCAATAATTGTTTCAAAATGCTGAATTGTAAATGATAAAAAAAAAATAATAATAATTGACGCAAAATTATTACAAATACGGAGTAACTAGGACAATTGTTTAAAGAAGATATGTAATAAATTATTATTTTTTAAACCAAAACTCATTTATCAAATCCAAATCAAAGAATAAAGTCCAAGAAAACAGGAGAAAAAAACTTGCCACTCTACAGGGTCTATATAAACAACTTTGTTTGCAGATCGAGAAACACAAGAGAAGGTTAATCTATCAAAAGAGGTCACCATGGCTTTAATATAATAAAGATATTAGCTGATAAGTGTAACAAAATATTATGATTTTGATTAATAAATAATAGATGGTGCCATTTTTGTATACATTAATAAAAATAAAAAAATAATGACGTTTCAAAATAAGCTATTATGTTAAACTCTAATGTTTTACCAAACATAACGTATATAGCTTATTTGTAGATTAAAATAAACTATAATATCTACCAAATAGAATTTATATACAAATAACTAAGACAATTGTTTAAAAAAAAAAAAAAAACTAAGACAATTATTTAAAGAAGGTAGGTAGTAATTGATGGCAACTTGCTAAAAAGTCTACGAACAAAATTTTATAATTTGTGCATTGAAACAACAGATATGAAAGATTAGGGTGCGACATGACATAACGTAATTGGTTCATGGTGTGCTTTGGCACTTGAGCCTAATATTATAATCTTAAATTATATTCCGTATAAATAAAGATTATTGTACGGAGTAACATATTTTAAAATTTAAGTCGGCCGTCCAATCAAATCGCTTGAGAGCTCCATCTCGCTTCAATTCTCTCCTACCTTTTTTCTAGTAAATCTTTTGTGTTAGTTTTAGTCAAAAGAAAATGTTACTACTGTTTCAATAACTTATACATAGTTTGTAGACTTGTACTTTGTAAAATTGTCACGTTATTTAACTGCCCGTTTGGTTCGCTGGAAAATATTTGAAGGGAAATGGAATTGAAATTTCATGGAAAATAAATTTCAGGAAAATTGATTCAATTGTTTGGTTGGTGAAAAAGAAATTACTGAGAATATGGATTCTATTGTTTGGTTAGGTTTAGAAAGATAAGGAATAATGAATATAAAGACTAATATACCCTTAAAAAGATGAATAAATAAATAGGTGCCTATGTAATTAAGAAACTTTCATAAGGGCAAAATCATACACTCATGTTATTTTTCTTCTCAATCCTTGTGGAAAACAAAATCCTACTCCTTTGGAAAGAATTCATTTTCCTCAACTTTGAAGAATTCATTTTCCAATGGAAAATGTTTTCCATCCAACCAAACAACATAAACCGACATTTTCCTTCACTTTTAAGAAAACATTTTCCATGGAAAATGTTTGCCATCCGACCAAACACCCCCTAAAAATTGGAATAAGGGTCAAATAGGCCATTGAACTGCACACAATAATGCAATTAAGCCACTGAACTTAAAAAACCAACAATTAAGTCCCTAAACTAATCAATTTCAAACAATTTTTTCAATTTGAAAGTTTCCAACAGGTCATCTTCCCCAATTAATTATTTTGTAAAAAATAAATTTTAAAAATTAATTATTTTTAAATTAAAAAAAAAAATGGACTACGGCCGGAGACGACAGTCTCCTGCCGATTTCTTTGTCTCCATGGCCCGGAGACGAAGAAACTCTTCGTCTCTGGCTGTGGAGACGAAGAAACCGGCCGGAGACGGTCGTCTTCGGCCGGAGCCCTTTTATTTATTTATTTATTTATTTATTTATTTAAATAATTAATTGTTATAATTTATTTTTTAAAAAATAATTAATTTGGAAGACCTGTTGACCTGTTAGAAACCTTCAAATTGAAAAAATTGTTTGAAATTGGTTAGTTTAGGGACCTAATCGTTGTTTTTTTAGGTTCAGTGGCCTAATTGAATTATGCTGTGTAGTTCGATGGCCTATTTGACCCTTATTCCCTAAAAATTTAAATAATAATATAAGTAAGGCAACCCTAGTCAAATTAATTGAACAGTTAATTTGGTAAGTATAAAATTTTAAGTTTTAACTTTTTATGAGAACTATCTATAAATTTTATTATTGTCTTTTGTCGACTAGGCAACCAAACCTTCTCGGTTGAGCCAACTAGCTATCCCTATGAACAACATAGGTTGTTTATCTTTTTAGTGACGACAAGTTATGTTGCGTAAATTGCAGTAGGACAGTGATCATGTTTAAGAGATCAAAGTGTATTGATAATGTGGAGTTGAGTGTGTGTGTATCAGTGTATATATATAAAATTTTAATTATTAGTTTTGGTACTGGATTAGGTGAAGAGTTATTGTTCTCCGTTTCTAAAAACGTTTTTTTCCACAAATTTACGGAAACTCCATGAAATAAATACTTAAAATGATAAATATAATAATTTTGATTTAAAGAAATTGATTTTTTTTTTCTTTAAATTTTTTGCCAAAATCCAATTCTTCGTCATTGATAATCATACTTCACTTACTTAGGAATTCTTTATGATGTGTTTTTGGTATTTTTCCACTTGATGGATGGGTGGCTCATTGCTCCTTTCACAGGTGGGAACATAAAACCTTGTTTAATTAGAATCAAAATCTTTTTTGCTTGGATCACATATTACTATAATAATATTGCCCTCCCTCCCCTCCCTCTTTTTTTTTTTTTTTTTTTTTTTTTAACATATATTCTATTGTGAGACTAATTCAGTTCAAGTCAAATTTATAGAAATAGATTCTTATCTAAGAGAAAGTCTAACCTAAAAGTCTTTTACATTGACGCATACATACAACCCAATTCTAACCTAAAAATCTAACCTAAAAGTCAATGATGATAATTTATTTTTCACATTAAATCCAGTACCTCAATCACTATAAAATTACTATAAATATTATTTAGAATGCACCACAATACCACATAGACTAATCTATCCAGAACTGTTTAATAAGAATGACTTACATGCAAGAGGAACTACGAAAGAAATAAACGAGGATACAAGTGAAGACGACGATGGAGAGTCAATTAGAGGGAGATGATGAAGTAGTTCTACTGGCGCCTGCTAGTCCCTTTTCGCAGTACATGAGCAGCTCTGTGTTGTCCTTCTCCATTATTGCTGTTCTGGAATCAAGTGTTCCGATTGAAGATGATGATTCAGTCATCCTTTCTGAAATCAGGGATGTCTTTTTGCCCATTAATCCAAGGTTTTCCTCAATCATGGTATTATGCTACCTTAATCTTATCTACTTAATTATTTGAAGTTTTTGTGATGAAGTTATGATCTTAACTTGAAGAATTGGAACTCGAACAGTAGGCAGTTATATTTTTGTTTCTTTAAACAGGTGACCGGAAAGAATGGTGAGAAGAATTGGAAACCGGTGAAAGTTAATCTCGAAGACCATCTCCAAGTCCCGATATTCCCCGTCGGGAAGCCGTTGGAATTCTACGACGACTGTCTGTCGGAGTATCTGACGAAGATATCCATGGATCCATTCCCGGAAACCCGACCGTTATGGGAGATTCACATATTCCGGTACCCTACGAGCAATGCTGCCGGGAACTGTATCTTCAAGCTCGACCACTCGCTCGGAGACGGCTACTCCTTGATGGGAGCTCTTCTTTCTTGCCTTCAACGCGCTGATAATCCGGCGCTGCCGCTGACGATCCCCCGGCGGGAAGGGAGCGGCAAGAAACAGGGGAAGAATAGCAACGCCGTCGCCAGGGCGTTCAAGGCCGTGCCGAGGTTCTTGTCCGGCGTTGTCGACACGGTGACGGATTTTTCCTGGAGTTTTCTGAAGAGCACTTTGATTGACGACGACAAAACGGCGATTCATTCCCAGGAAGACGGCGTCGAGTTGCGGCCGATATCCGTTACTACCCTGGCGTTTTCGCTTTACCATCTGAAACAGATAAAATCCAGTCTTAACGTCACGATCAACGACGTGATTTCGGGGATAGTGACGTACGGAACGAGATTATACATGCAGGAAAGCGAGAGAGAAACATGCAACGGGGAATGCACGGCGCTGGTGCCGTTCAACACCAGGGCGATGGGAGGTTATAAGTCGGTGAGCGAGATGATCAAACCCAACGCGGAAATGCCATGGGGAAACCGGTTCACGACTCTCCACTTCGCGATACCCAAACTGCGGCCCCCCGGCGACGGCGACTCCTCGAATCCCCTCCACTTCATCTACAAAGTCCATCGCATGGTCAAGCGGCAACGCAGTTCCGCGTCCGTCTATCTCACCAGGCAGTTCCTCGAATTCTCCAGAAAGCTCAGGGGCCCTGAGGTATGAACATTTATCCTCTATACACAGACATTACAATATGGATCATGGTTCATGTTATAGTTTGTCTTGCTTCGTCTAAGATTTTAATGGTGTTTAAGATTTAGGGTAAGAGGTTAAGTATATTTGTATAATAATAATTCTTCAACTCTCATAATGGATGATTACAGGCAACTGCACAGTACTTACTTAGAACGTTCAAGAACACAAGTATTACCATGACCAATATAATTGGTCCAGTAGAAGAAACTATCCTTTCTAACCATCCAATAAAGGGCATGTACTTTGCCATATCTGGTGTCCCTCAGGTACATATCCACACTTCCTTTATGTTAATTTTTGAATAAATTAATTTCAATAAAAGTCCTTTGTCTTTCTAATTTCTGTGTCAATTTTTAAAAAAGATTCAATCACTTAACACAAGAGTTTCATTCCTTTCAAACAAGAAAAAAAAAAAACACAGGAGTTTCATTTTGTAACCACTCATTGGGGATAGTAAAATAAAGGTGTCATAACACAACTAATATATATATATATATATATATATATATATATATATATATATATATATACTAGTAATTCACCCGAGCAATGCACGGGAAAAAATTATGTTATTATAAATATAAATAAAAAATAGAAAAACTAAAATATTTTAAATTGTTTAATATAATAATATTTTTGAGCTTCCATTGGTCAAGTATTTATTATTTTTATAGAATACAAAATTACAATTAAAATTAAAATTAAAATTTTGTATGGTTAATATAATCTCTAATTATGTGCATATTTAAATAAACTTATAGAGAGAATTTACATAATTACATTGATTTATTCTTAATTGTATTTCATCTATATTATAATTTTCACAATACGAATAATAACTAAGATAATTACATTTGGAAAGCAAATTTCAAATTTTGTATGAGTAAATTTAAACTCTAATTGAAGATATTTTTTATATGATTATATAATATATATCTATTTTATTTCAAAAGTACATTTTTATATAATTATATAATATATAGCTATTTTATTTTTCAAATGTTGTGCTTTTAAAGAAAATGTATAATAAAGGATGTTGTGGCATTAATTATAACATTAATTACTTCCCAAACCATATAGCTTTATTATAGTTAAGATATATAAAGAGAGAGGGGGGGGGGGGGGGGGGAGAGGACCCCTAAGGCCCTAACTATATATATGTAAAAATAAAGGAAATGGACAAATGGCATATATATTTTCACTAATATATCTTGATTATACTGGTTTGACATTACGGTTTGCAGAATTTATTGGTGACGATGCTGAGCTACAGGGCCGGATTTTAGGCTGTGCAAGCTGGGCTACCGCACAGGGCCCCCAATTTTAGAGGGGCCCCCAATTTTAGAGGTCCAATATTGAATTTTTACCTAGTTAGTTTAGAAATAAAAGTTAAAAGTTTTCAATTGAATTTAAAAGGTTCTATGAAGAGATGGTAAGAATATGTATTTATTGTATTTTAACTTGGAGGTTAAAGGTTCGAAACTTGCATGTATTGATTTTAAAAATTGTGATTTAATAGGGCCACATTTATTTACTAGAACAGGGCCACCAAAACTTAAAATACGGCCCTGCTGAGCTACGCTGGAATACTGAGGCTCACCATTTGTTCGGAGAAAGATTTCATAGATGTGAAGAAACTGAAGTTATGTATTGAGTCTTCTTTTGATGAAATCTTCAGATTAGCACTCAAGTCTTCTCCACCACATGCATGAATATATATATATATATATATATATATATGTAGCATATGCTTATATATGCAAGTAGTGTGTGTAATTTTGTGTTGTTTTCTCCAACATATATATGTATACCTCAGAGGTTATGAGGTTAATTAGCGCATCCTTATTCGTGTCACATTCATGTGAAAAGTTATAAGTTCTACTACTATATATGTCAATGTGTTTGTGTGCTCTTTCAAATAATAATCTCCTCAATTAATTGTGTTTACTTCATACCCATTTTGAGCTTAAAATATATCAAATTTTTTGTCTCACCACGAAGACTGCAAATTCAGTTTGACTCAACCGAAATCAGGTGTAGACTCCACATATATTTGTACCACAAAATAACCACTCAAAATTTGTCATTTTATGCTAAAAATTTTAGAGAAAATGACACTTTCCCCCCCGAGTTATTTGATAAGTGCATTTATGTCCATATTTTTACCCCTTGTATAGACATATTTTGAGTGACAAACACTTTGATTTTATGCAAAGAAGTGCCTTAATTCCTTTGTGTATATCTTTTGATGCATAAATTGTAAAGTGCAGGCAATTGTGTGCTTTTGAGGTATTTTGGATGAATTTGGAGTCAATGAGAGCCAAATATGAAGCTATGGAGATGGATGCAACACTTCCAAAGGAGTCTAGGGTGGTTCTTTCAATGGTCTTGGTCATGTGGGCAAACCAAAGCAAAAGAGAAGCAAGCGACCATGCAATTGCAATTCCCGACCTGCACGTCGATGTCATGGTTTTTGGACCATATCTCAAGATAAAAACATCCAAATTACATGATTCTTGTCCCATTGCAAAGAAGACTCAAAGGGCTACAACTCATATTCAGACATCAAAGCCTAAAAAGGAAGCCACAGTGGTCAAAATCATCCTTGAAGTTGAAGTTCTGAACTTACAGATTTCACCCGAAACTGACCACTGTTTGGTAATTTGATCATATCTCGGCCTAGGATTATCTAAATTAAGTGATTCTTGCGCCATTTGAAAGAAGACTCGAATATATACAACTTTCATGAAGACACTGAAGCCTAATTCTAAAGACAAAAGGATCAAAATTAGCCTGCAAGTCGAAGTTCTGTTGCAGATCAGCACTCGACGCGTCGAATCTTGGCAGAATGTCGCGATTTACATTCTGTAATTTCTCGACGCGTAGAGCAGCCCATCTCTGTTTCTTTTGACTGCGTTATAACTCATTTTTTGGAGAAAAAAGTCATGTTAGAACCCTAGATAGAAAGAACTCGTTTCCTTAGCTTAGATTAGTATAGTATTTCATCTCTAACTTTTCTACAAAGCTTGTAATCATGGATTGGAGTGAGATTCAACCTCAAAATCTCCATCTTCATTAGAGAAGCTTCTTACTCTTCTTCTTAAGCTTTTGTGCAATGTTTATGATATTTTCTTGTGCTTTGTTGTTATTTATGCTTATGAAGTGTGAGTAGTTCGTTTTTGGGCTTGGATTAGGGTGATATTGCTAACCTAGATGCTAAATAGGTGATTATTGCATAAGGGGGAAGAACCCTAACCTAGGGTTCATTTGTTTGAGTTGGTTTTATGTTTAATCTTGCTAATATTTGGTACGTAACTCTTATTAGCTTGCTTTTGGATAGTTTTTCTCCACAATGAAAGTTGGGGGAAGAATTTAAGCCTCTCCTCTCTCTAAACCCATTTTCTTTCTATGAAAATAGGGAAGAATTGGGGGCCTAAATGCTTATGTGCTTTAAGAGCTAGGAATTGATACACCATGAAAGTGGGGCAATCCTTGCTCTAATCCTTGTTCTTTAGCTTATGAAAATGGCTTTAAGCTAGGATTTTTATGTGCTTTGCCCTTATGTTCCCTTGGTTGATGTTCTCCCCTAATCCCCAAGTTGTTAAAGCATCTAGAAGGCAACATCCCCTAATTTGAGCCCAGACCATCTTTTATCATTGTGATTACTTGTGTTTAAATTGCATTGTCTTAACTAGATTTTTAGTCTTTAATTGTTGACATTACCCAACCATGAATTTGAATTTGCTTGGATTCTTGTGGGTTCCAATACTTTGGTGCCTAGAACTTTAGTTGTCACTCAAGTACGTGCCATAGTCCCAATCCCTTGAGGAACGACAATTTACACCCGTATACTCACTACCTCTTTCCCGTACATCATTATTACATATAACACATTTCCCCCTGAATTATTCAGGTAAGTACATTAGCCCCCTCAATAATTATTCTAAAAGTAGCGGTTTTCCCCTCTGATAATTAAATTGACATTTCTACCCTTAAAGTAAACATTCTATTTATTTTTCTTCTCCAACAAATTATTGCGTATACGTAAGGATAACCACGGTCCGGTTCGAACTGAACCGGACACTATAGCAATCGAATTAAAAGTTTCCGGTTATGATTCAGATCCAGAACTCAATATTTGGATTTCGATTTATTAAAATTATGAATCGAAGAAACTGGATCCTGAACCGTGAACTGGCGATTTCGAATCAGTTTTGCGATTTTGAACCGTCATTATTTTAAATTTTTTTATTTTATTTTAAAATAGTCTAAATTCACAATAAATGTATTTTATTTTTTTTCAGTTTGGAACATGAACCGGCCATTCCGGTTCGCGATTTTAATGAACTCTAAATATCAGGTTTCGATTCGAAATTGTAATTGGAATATTTCGATTTGGTTACTATAGTGTCTGTTTGGGTTGAACCAAATTGTGGTCCTAATTTGGTGGAAAAGAAAAATAAATGAAATATTTATTTTAAGGGTAAATATGTTCATTTAACATTTCAAAAGGAAAAACAGCCACTTAAATAATTCAAAGAAAAAAAAAGTGCTATTAAGTATATAACTCAAGGGAAAATACTTCGTGTACTCCCACTTTAAACTCCCAACTTGTACCCCCTCTCACATATTCTTGATGTAGACATTTTTCTGTGCACCCACATGATGAAAATAACCAATCCTGATTTGCCACCTCTAACTCAAGTGATATTTTCCTAACATAATATTGCCCCCTCCGACCCTCAAAGTCAAATTTATAGAAATAGATTCTTAGAGAGAAAGTCTAACCTAAAAGTCTTTTACCTTGACACATACATACAACCCAATTCTAACCTAAAGGTCTAACCTAGAAGTCAATGGTGATAATATATTTCCCACATTATATCCAGTACTTCAATCACTATAAAATTACTATAAATATTATTTAGAATGCACCACATAGACTAATCTATCCAGAACTGTTTAATAAGTTTGACTTGCATGCCGTCTCTATCTACATACACAGATACATGCAAAAGGAACTACTATACGAAAGAAATTATCAAGCATACAAGTGAAGACGACGATGGAGAGTCATTTAGAGGGAGATGATGAAGTAGTTCTGGCGCCTGCTAGTCCCTTTTCGCAGTACATGAACAGCTCTGTGTTGTCCTTCTCCATTATTGCTGTTCTGGAATCAAGTGTTCCAATTGAAGATGATGATTCAGTCATCCTTTCTGAAATCAGGGATGTCTTTTTGCCCATTAATCCAAGGTTTTCCTCAATCATGGTATATATTCTACCTTAATCTTATCTACCTACTTAATTATTTGAAGTTTTTGTGATGAAGTTATGATCTTAACTTAAATGATCGAAAGAAATGGAATAATTGAAATCGTAAGAATAAGTGTCAGAATCAAACGTTTATTTACATAGCAGTCAAGTCAGCTCCACATTTCAATGATAGGATTCTGAACTCCACTCAACTGCCCAACAGTAGACAATTATACTTTTGTTTCTTTAAACAGGTGACCGGAAAAAATGGTGAGAAGAATTGGAAACCGGTGAAAGTTAATCTTGAAGACCATCTGAAAGTCCCGATATTCCCCGTCGGGAAGCCGTTGGAATTCTACGACTACTGTCTGTCGGAGTATCTGACGAAGATATCCACGGAACCATTCCCGCAAACTCAACCGTTATGGGAGATTCACATATTCCGGTACCCGACGAGCAATGCTGCCGGGAACTGTATCTTCAAGCTCCACCACTCGCTCGGAGACGGCTACTCCTTGATGGGAGCTCTTCTTTCTTGCCTATATATATGTGTGTGTGTGTGTGTAAAAATAAAGGAAAATGCATATATATTTTCACTATCTTGATTTTATTGATTTGGCATGACGGTTTGCAGAATTTATTGGTGACAATGCTGAGCTATGCGGAAAATTTGAGAGTCACCATTTGTTCGGAGAAAGATTTCATAGATGGGAAGAAACTGAAGTCATGTATTGAGTCTGCTTTTGATGAAATCTTCATATTAGCACTCAAGTCTTCTCCACCACCTGCATGAATATATATACACATACTCTACCAGTATTCCTGCATGCATATGGTTTTATATATATATATATATATATATATTATATATATATATATATATATATATATATATGTGTGTGTGTGTGTGTGTGTGTAATTTTGTGTTGTTTTCTTCAACATATGTATACCTCAGAGATTATGAGGCTAGCACATCCTTATCTGAGTCCAACTCGTGTGAAAAGTTATAAGTTGGATTATATATGTCTATGTGTTTAATTTGTGTGGCCTTTCAAATAATAATCGTCTTTTCAATCAATTGTGTTTACTTCAATTTTTTTTTTTTAATGTAAAAATAAATGCATTAAAACAGTCCAATCGTAGTGTTGTTCTTTAGGCATAATGCCAATGAGTCAATTGAAAGGTCTTAATCTCATTGTTGGTATTACTGCTATAACAACTCATCTAACTATTATCACTCCAATTACTTAAATTTCGATCCACTCTTCCCCCTGGTGACAAATTATATCATGCACTCTGGATTCAATTGCTGATTTTAGTATGTTTATTATAGTTTGGTACACATCTATTTTTGGCATATGTAGGTTCATTTTAGTGTATTGCAAATCAAAATGAATTAGTATATATTATATTACATTAAAAATGAACTTGCGGACATGATCCATCTTACGTCAAAATAAGTTTAGCCAGTCAGGTTAATCCGTCTTTCCCCACAAAAAGAACGGGACAAACTCTTATTTTTAAGGCACGAATAAAATGCAGGCTTTTTTGTCCACCCGATGTTGCCCCCGGGCCGCGGGTTAGCCCACGACCCTGCTAATTATTTTTAAAAAAAATTCCTTTTATGGGAATGTTTTGCGAAGAAGATGAAAGAAGAAAAGCGTCTCTATCGAAACTTTGTTATATATTTTTACATATTGCATAACACGGCTTCAATAGAGACATGTTATGTACAACTTTTTGTGAAGGCGTAGTTCTTACCGCCGTGGATAGCTAATGTGTTCGTCTCGCCGTTATTTGACCTCAAATCCTAAAGCGAATGGTAGAAACTTGAAGGACCATTGGTGGTTAACTTGGACCACGAATGGTTAAATTTGAAAGTCGAAGGATCACAAATGATCAATTTAAAAGTTTAAGACTAAACGTGACAAAACCACTATACTCGGAGGATCTCAGGTGGTATTAACTCTTAATAATATATCCAGCAAAATGGGTGACACCGCCAAGGCACAATAAAGAAGAAGGGCTGATGCAAATTAAAGAGAGTTGGCCTACCCAATTTTTTTTTTTTTTTCTTCTTATTACTATGTTATTTTTTAGAAAATATTAATTATTTTAATGATGATAATGATAATTATTTATATTAAAATAAAATTACAGATTAAAATTTATGATAGTTATAAGGATTAACAATAATTATATTTAAAAAGATGTAAATGAATACTTTTTAACTTTAACTTATTAATATTAAAATAGAAATAAATATTAATTCTAAATGACATTTTTGTCTAATGATGTTGATATTACTAAATTGTCTCTGAGTTTGGGCAAGAAAACTTCACAATCACTTCTTCTTGGGGTGACACCCCCCCTCTCTCCCCTCCCCCATGTAATAACCAACAAACCATACATGACGTAGTAAGAAGACCTTGTACACACACATGAAAGATAAATTACACTAAGAAGCTACGAACATGTGCGATAGGCTTGATAGAAAGATTATCGACGAAAATTGAACTTGTAACTTTGGTATAATAATCATACTTCACTCACTTGGGAATTCCTTATGAGGCGTCTTTGCTATTATATTTTTCCACTTGATAGGCCGATAGCTCATTGCTCCTTTCACAAGATCCAAACATAAAAACTTGTTTAACAAGAATCAATTTTTTTTCTTTTTTTTTTTTTTTATAACATTTGACATTTACACTACTGTAAGACTAATTCAGTACATACAAAAGTCTAACTTCAAATTTGTTGCCGTGTACAAATTATCAAAATTTAAAAGAAGTGGATCGAATGCTCTCATTAAAAAAAAAAAAAAAAAAAAAGACAACTCAGTCATCTCCCCACTGGACCATCGCAGATAAGAAGACCGGCGGCATGCAGGTGCTCTTGCTTTTTTAATGTTATTTTACATTCTTTTGTAGAAATTTGAAGCTATATTTGTTGATTTATAGTTGCATTTTGACAATAACCGGCCAATGATGATAAATTATTTTTCTAGGTGAGAGGCAGACAAATAATTGAGACAATTATTTAAAGAAGGTAGGTACGTAGTAAATCAATTATAAATGGCAAATTATACTGTGGATCGCGGTCCATAATGCATTGATCCAGGCATCAAAACAGTGCCGTTTCTTTTAATGAAAAGAAACAGTATCCGTTCCGTGTCGTTCCACAAAAAGTAACACTGTTTGTATAACATATTCAGTTTCATTTTATATACATTGCAGTTCAATTCAACACAACTACAATTTCATTTCGATAAAATTACAGTTTCATTCGACATTATACACTCAAATATGTAAAACTCTTATTCAGTTTCATTTTATATACGCTATAATTTCTTTACAACACAACTACCTATACATTATCATTTCGATATAACTACAGTTTCATTGGACAATATACACTCAAATATGTGAAACTGTTATTCAGTTTCATTTTATATACATTGCAGTTTCATTTCAACACAACTACAGTTTCATTTCTATATAACTACAGCTTCATTCGACATTATACACTTAAATATGTGAAACTGTTATTTAGGTTCATTTTATATACACTATAGTTTCATTACAATACAACTACAGTATCATTTCGATATAACTACAGTTTCACTGGACAATATACACTCAAATATGTGAAACTGTTATTCAGTTTATTTTATATATACTACAATTCATTTCAACGCAACTACAGTTTCATTTCAACGCAACTACAGTTTCATTTCAATTCAACTACAGTTTCATTTCAATTCAATTACAGTTTCATTTCAACTCAATTACAGTTTCGTTTGATAATATAAAAATAATATGTGAGACAGTTTCATTTTAGATACACTGTAGTTTCATTTTATAATTAACACACCAAAAACACGCGCTCCGTTAATTAAGCTGTAATGACAGCCGTTTCTTTACTTAAAAAAACGGCGTCGTTTTTGAACCATGGTCCACAAAGCTTTATGGACCAATGTCCACAATATAATTGCTGATTATAAATGAAGAAATTTATATTTAGATCTTGCAGAAATAGTAGGGGCCGTTTACTAAGAGAAAACCGTTCTCTATTTTCTGTTTTCTAATTTTTCAGTTTTTATTATCTGTTTTCTGTTTAGAAAACTTGTTTCTTAACATTTATTTTTTCAAATTTATTTTTTTAGATTAATGTTATAAAAGTAATACAAGTTCAATTTTGAGTGATTTCTAGATCTTATATTTAAAATATTTTTACATATGTTTGGTTTAAATGGAATAATTTACTATTATTATTATTTTTTTTTTATTTTTTATTTTTTATTTTTTTTTACTTTTAAGTATAATATGTGTAAGATTTTTACATAAAAACTAAAAAATATATTCGAACCAATAGCCTAGTAAGTTCACCTAAAATTTAGTTTTGATAATATTAATATTTTTTTAGCTAATATTTAAAATATTTTTGAGATATATTCATTTGAATGACATGTATATGAATATATAACTTTTTTACTTTGGATTCTAATATATGTAAGATTTCAATATTCGATATCCGGACCGAACTTGTATTACGATATAACATAACTAAAAATATCCGAACTAATAATCTATTGATTTCAATCAAAATCTAAAACAGTGTATAGAGTTCAATTATTAATTTTGATAATGTAAATAATGTCTAACTTTAAAGTGTAAGCAAATAAGTTATGTTTAAATAAGTAAAGTAAGCAGAAAATATAGAAGACGATGATAAGTAAAAGAAGATGATAATGAATGTAATCATAGTAATGTGGTTATAGTGACATATAACCAAATAGATGATAGATGATTTTGTTTTCCATTTAGAAAATAGTTTTTAAGAGTGTTTCAATTCTATAGAAAACTGAAAGTTATTTTCAATTTTCAAAATAGAAAACTGTGCTAGTAAACATGTTTTCTGTTTTCTATTATCTAATTCTCCAGTTTTTCGGAAAACTGAAAAAAAAATAAATTTAGTTAGTTGATAAGTACTTATTTGTTTATATTTTCCCCTCTTTCACTAAGTCATTTTGCCTATAGATCATTCCAAATTTCATGAGATTATGATTAAATTGTGTTATTTTGCTAGGAGTTTTGTTTGGAAACAAAGATGAGTATTTTCAGACATTTTGGTGGACATTGGAGTCAAATGGAGCATTTTGGATACATTAGGAGTCCATGGGAGCCAATGAGAAGTTAAGAGGATGGACAAAATACTTTCAAGGGAGCCTAAAAGTGGTGTATTCAATGGTCTTAGTCATTTGGGCAAATCAAAACAAAAGAGGAGCAAAAGATCAAGACATTGTAATTTTCGCTCATTTCGGACACTGTTTGGTTTTTTGACCATATCTCGGTCTAGGAATGTCCAAATGAAGTGATTCTTACACCATTGGAAACCTAACTTAAAGGGCTACAACTTTGTTGAAGAACATAAGTGCCAATAAAATGGTTTTAGATGAGAAAAATAGCTAGAAGTCAAGACAAGTGCACAGAATTCTGTTTTCAGCAGCCTTGTACGCCCTGCCGTACGCCCGTACGCATGCCAGTACGCATCTCTTCTCCCTGTTCCAGTTTTCACTGGAAATGCACCAAAAATCGTACCCCCTGGCATACGCCCATCCCGGAGGGCGTCCCAATCTGATCTGCTCTATTTAGGCGCGTTTTTGTTTCATTTCAACTTGGTTTTGAGCTATGCTTGAGCCCTAGCTTCTCTCTTTCACTTCCTTTCATATTGTAGTGTTATATTAGGTTTAGATTTAGGTTTCTTAACATATTTCAGGCTTGTAATCAAAGATTCAACACTTGGATTCCAACATTTCAAGATTCTACCATCCAATTTCTTTAGAGAAGTTTTCCTTTTATCTCTTTATCTTGCAATGTTTGTGCTTTACATTTATGTTTTTGTGTTCTTTATGCTATTGAATCATGAGTAGTTAGTTTATGAACTTGAGTTAGGGTTGTATTATCTATCTTGATGCTTGATTTGTGATTATTGCAAAAAGGGGAAGAACTCCAACCTAAGGTTCATGTGTTTATGAAGGTGTGGTGTATATATCTTGTTAATGTTTGATGTACACATTCATTATCTTGTTTTTGGAGGATTCCTTGCCTCAACGAGAGTTGGGTGATGAATCCAAGCCACCCCTTGCATAGACCCGATTTCTTCCTACGAAAATAGGGGAAATTGGGAGCTTTAGATGCTTTGTGTGCTTGATGGACTTGGAATTGATTCACCACGAAAGTGGGGCAATTCCTTGTTCTAATCCTTGTTTATTAATCGCGAGAATGGTTCGTAGACTAGGATACCTACGTGCATTCCCGCTTGATTCCTTGGTTACTTGTTCTCCCTAATCCCTTAGGTTGTTAAAGCATCTAGATGATAATGCTCCCTAGCTTGAGTCCTATTTCTTTATTTCGTGTTACATCTTGTTAATATGTGTTTGTGTTACTTTGTTTAGTTAGCGTAGCCTCAATCTCGTTATGATTTGCTTAGCTTCTTGTTGATTTCCTTATGCTAGTGCCTAGTTTCTTGTGATTCCATATTGCGTGCCATAACCCCCAATCCCCTGAGGACGGACGACATTACACACCCGTACACTCACCATCACTTATTTTTGCTACATCATTAGTAAACGGGCCCTAGGTGTTTCTAGGTGGGACTCAAACAAATAATTAAGGTGAAGAAAATATGTCGAAAATTTATTGGCTCATAAATAATCCCTCCTATCCCAACTACCTAATAAATGTTTGAGTTCTACTAGTAATTCTAGATTCAACTCTCCACTTTTACTTCCTGATGTGACAAATAATAATATTATATTTTCATCATGTAGGTTTCAGAAAAAGTGTTTACATCAAGAATTTGTGAGATGGAGTAGAAATTGAGAGTAAAATTCATCATGGTGATGCACAATGATGATTGAGGATCTATATGACTATATATACTTTTTTAGATTAGAGTTTCTCAGTAACGAGCACAATAAAACTAGAAATAAATAAAATATAATAAAAAAATTAAACAACACCTTAAAATTATACAACTCTGAAAATGCAAATTTATATGGGAGCCAAATTCAATTTGCACCTAATTCAAATTATATATAAAGTCAAGTCAAGTTTGATCTTTTATCTAAACAATTAGGACCACGCACAAAATGTAATTATGTTAGAATAGAGTAGGATGACAAGGTGACAAAGTACTAAAAGAGACTTGCAATATTTCAACTAATCTACACCTCTATATATAGGTGAAGTTGAATAGTATTATATAGATCAGACATTAAAAATATATATCTATTTCAAGCTATCATGTATAACACAACTAAAACTAAAATTCAACAATAATGCTTATTTTTTGAATCAAAAGGAATGAAATACTCAAACGGGCCTAGTTCATAAAAACGGACCCTTTCATTGAAGACCACAAAGACAGTAATCATATTCAAAATTCATTAAAACTCTACTGAGGACGGCTCAATCAACCTAAGACCAAGAGTACTTCAAATACGCCTACCTATTAGCAAGATGGTCAGAGTGCAATTTTATTTTGCTCTTTGTAACAATGTAAAATTTGAATCTGATATTACCTTGTCATCTCATACTTGCACTTCTCCCACAAATTCAACATAGACTTATGGAATATTGCATCCCCTTTCAATAACTTAATTAATTAACAAGTTTAGAGTCATTTTCAACAGTAATATTTTTACTTTAACCTTAAAATTTTTTGTTAGTTGTTAATGCTTGATGGAATATATATTGATTTGATCTGTTGAGTTTGATAATTAATAATATTTATTCTTCCCAAATTGAGAATTAATAATATATCCAGCGAAATGGATGAAATGACCGCCAAGGCACTATAAAGAAGGACTGATGCAAATTAAAGAGAGTTGGCCTACAGAAATTAAGGCTACGGCTGCTGCGGTAGTTTTGGAAAGCTGGACATCATCTTATATATATTTCACCCAAAAATAATAATAATAATAATTAGAACATCTCCCAAAATTAAAATTTTTGAATGATTTATGCAGTGCCAAGTAAGATAGTGAGGGAAGAAAAAAGAAGAAAAAACATTGTAACAAAAAAAGTTAAAAAAAAAAATAAAAACAATAAAGGTGTATCCTATTCTATTTTTTCCTATTATATGGAACTCAAAAAAAAAAAAAAAAAAAAACTTTAATTTGCAGGATAAATTTTTTTTTTTTGAAGAAGTCCCACCCCCAATAGTCAAAAGACCCCCTCCCAAATTTTGTTTCTATAAAACTTCTTTTGGGTTGCTCTTATGTTGTTTAAAAAGAGAAAGTGAACATGTTGTACTTTTTTTTTTTTTCTTTTCATTTTAAATTCTTGTATTTTTCGAACGAAAATTAATATTGAAATAGAATTGCCACACAAAAATCATATCATTAATTTACCTCCAAAAATCAAATCCTTATATAAATTAATTACATATAATAATTATTGCCTTCTGTAGTTCTGTACCCTATCACTTATCAATAAGCTGACACAAAAATTAATAATGTAAAGCGCATCCAACAAAGAACCCCAAATATAATGGAGTAAAAGAAATTTTTATTTAACAAAAGTTCTAACACATTTACTCTCCCAATTTTATTCACCGATATAGTGTATATATATATACATACACAGATACATGCATGAGGAACTACGAAAGAAATAAACAAGCATTCAAGTGAAGACGACAATGGAGTGTTATTTAGAGGGAGATGATGAAGTAGTTCTGGCGCCTGCTAGTCCCTTTTCGCAGTACATGAACAGCTCTGTGTTGTCCCTCACCATTATTGCTGTTCTGGAAATAAGTGTTCCAATTGAAAATGATGATTCAGTCATCCTTTCTGAAATCAGGGATATCTTTTTGCCCATTAATCCAAGGTTTTCCTCAATCATGGTATATATGCTACCTTCTACTTAATTATTTGTAATTATGAAGTTATGATCTTGACTTCAGTGATCCGAAAAATGGTAAAGATAAGTGTCAGAATCAAATACTTATCACTATGTAAAAAAAATTTATGTTTTTATATTTACCTAGCAGTTAAGTTAGTTACACATTTCAATGATAGGATTTTGAACTTGAACAGTAGGCACTTATATTTTTGTTTCTTTAAACAGGTGACTGGAAAAAATGGTGAGAAGAATTGGAAACCGGTGAAAGTTAATCTCGAAGACCATCTAAAAGTCCCGATATTCCCCGTCGGGAAGCCGTTGGAATTCTACGACTACTGTCTGTCGGAGTATCTGACGAAGATATCCACGGAACCATTCCCGCAAACTCAACCGTTATGGGAGATTCACATATTCCGGTACCCGACGAGCAATGCAGCCGGGAACTGTATCTTCAAGCTCCACCACTCGCTCGGAGACGGCTATTCGTTGATGGGAGCTCTTCTTTCTTGCCTTCAACGGGCTGATAATCCGGCGCTGCCGCTGACGTTTCCCCGGCGGCAAGGGAGCGGCAAGAAGCAGGGGAAGAATAGCAACGCCGTCGCCAGGGCGTTCAAGGCCGTGCCGAGGTTTTTGTCCGGCGTTGTCAACACGGTGACGGATTTTTCCTGGAGTTTTCTGAAGAGCAGTTTGATTGACGACGACAAAACGGCGATTCATTCCCAGGAAGACGGCGTCGAGTTCCGGCCGATCTCCGTTACTACCATGGCGTTTTCGCTTTCCCATCTCAAACAGATAAGTTCCAGTCTTAACGTCACGATCAACGACGTGATTTCGGGGATAATCACGTACGGGACGAGATTATACATGCAGGAAAGCGAGAGAGAAACATGCAACGGGGAAAGCACGGCGCTTGTACTGTTCAACACGAGGGCGATGGGAGGTTATAAGTCGGTGAGCGAGATGATCAAACCCAACGCGGAAATGCCATGGGGAAACCGGTTCACGTTTCTCCCCTTCGCGATACCCAAACTGCAACCCCCGGCAGGCGACGGCGACGGCGACTCCTCCAATCCCCTCCGGTTCATCTACAAAGCCCACCGCATGGTCAAGCGGCAACGCAATTCCGGGTCGGTCTATCTCACCGGCCAGCTCCTCGAATTCTCCAGAAAGCTCAGGGGCCCTGAGGTATGTCCGCAATGTGTTTGACAAAATGCAAATTATTGTCCTCCAAAGGAACGTTTATTTTTATTACATTAAATATTTATTATTTTGTGTATTGAATTTTTATTTGTAGGCATACTATTAAAAATAAACTTTTAATATATTAAAAGTGAATGTTTAGTATACAAAGCATGAATATTTATCTGTAATTCACATGTCAATGTCGATCATGGTCCATAGTATAATTTGTCTTAGCTTGCTTCGTCCAACATAAGAGTCTTCATTCAATATAATCAAGCTAAGACTGACTTTATTCAAATTACACATTTAAATAGCAATTGCAACTATCATATTTTCTTAGATTTTAACGGTTAATTTAATGATTTTAAGATTTACAGTCAGCTGTTAGGTATATTTGTACAATAATTCTTCAGCTCCCCTAATGTATGGTTGCAGGCAACTGCACAGTACGTAAGTGGAACGTTAAGGAACACAAGTATTACCATGACGAACATGATTGGTCCGGTGGAAAAAACCACCCTTGCTAACCATCCCGTAAAGGGCATGTACTTCGCCGTATCCGGCGCCCCTCAGGTATATATCCACACTTCCTTTATGTTAATTCTCTTATTTTGTTAATAACAGATATTCAACGGAGATTTCTTATTTTTAGTGATAAGTCAATTTTTTTAAATCATTTTTCCAATGAATTAATTTCAACAAAAATCCCTTGTCTTTTTCACTTATATGTCTTCTTTTTTTTTTTTTTAAAGATTATATTCTATCCCCTTACTATAGGAGTTTCATTCTCCGACAACCACTTATTTGGGATATGAGGACAATAAAAGTGTCATAACACTACCATACTAATAGTTAGAGACTTTAATGTTTATTAATTGGCTCATAACCATAAAAAGCTTTAAGAACACTAGTATATATACAATAATACAAGTACTTATACGATTTGTAAATTAATTGTAACATATCACGCAATTTACTTTTTATATTAGTTTCCACGACAAAAAAAATAAAATAAAATAAAAAAATAATCATTAAAGACGTTGAGTCCATTTAATGGGGTCGACGTGACATGAAAACATTAATCAGCTAGGCCGGGTTGTCTGAAACCATGCACATGCATATATGCAACTTTAATTTCAAGGAAGACATACACCAGATACAACATTACATATATCATTCATATCATATATCATCTGTCTCATTATATATATAGGAACCCAACTACATATATATATATATATATATATATATATATATATATATATATATATATATATATATATAAATGAAATGGCATATATATTTTCACTGATGATCTTGATTATATTGGTTTGGCATGACGGTTTGCAGAGTTTAGTGGTGACGATGCTGAGCTATGCGGGAAAACTGAGACTAACCATTATATCGGAGAAAGATTTCATAGATGTGAAGAAACTGAAGTCATGTATTGAGTCTTCTTTTGATGAAATCTTCAGATTAGCACTCAAGTCTTCTCCACCTAGGCCACCACCTACATGAATATAATATATACACATACTCTGATATACCAGTATTCCTGCATGCATATGCATATATGTGTGTGTGTGTTTTATCCAACATATGTATACCTCAGAGGTTATGAGGTTAGCACATCCTTATCTGGGTCAGACTAATGTGAAAATTTATGAGTTCGACTATATATATCTATATGTTTAATTTGTGTGGCCTTTCAAATAATAATCATCTTTTCAATTAATTGTGTTTACTTCAAATTTTTTTTTTTTTTAACGTAGAAATAAATGCATTAAAACAGTCCAAAGATAGTATTGTTTGTTGGGCATAATGCCAATGATTACATTGAAAGGTCTTAATCTCATTGTTGGTATTACTGCTATAACAACTCATCTCAACTACTTAAATTTCACTCTTCTCCACGCCCGACAAATTATATTGTCCTATAACAACTCATCTAATTAGAAATAAATGCATTAAAACAGTCCAATCATAGTGTTTCACTCTCATTTTGAATAGGTTAAGCTCTCTGTATGTAGAAGTGTACAGTTTAGCCGGACGATTCATAGGGTTCAAAAATTAAAAAAGAAACAATGACGTCATGAGTGCCATGGCCAGCTAGCATTTTCATGAGGATGAAGACACCATGACCCAATGTCTTTGTTAAGATGACGATGTCATGGCGTAGTGTATTCATCATACAGTTGTTATACAGTGGACCATGGTCCACGGTGCTATGTGAATCATGGTCGTCAAATGAAATTGTAGTAGAATTAAAATAATATTTTATTATTGTTATAATGAAACTAGTATGTGAAAAAATGAATATAAAAAACATAGCTCATTCAACAATGTAATTGTCATGAAACTGTAGTATAATTAATAAAATGATACTTTAGTGTTGCTATAATAAAACTAGTGTATGTGAAAAATGAAACTAAAATCTAGAGTCGTACAATAACATATATTGTTAAATGAATCTAGAGTATAATTAAAATATTAGTTTTATATTACTATAATAAATTAGTGTGTTTGGTTGACGGTCTGAGAAATATTTTTTCTTATTACTATGTTATTTTTTTAGAAAATATTAATTATTTTAATGATTATAATAATTATTATTTATATTAAAATACAATTATAGATTAAAATTTATGATAGTTATAAGGATTAACAATAAATATATTAACAGAGTCAGTGGAGGCGTGGACTATTAGCTCTTTGTGCTTCAGTAAATTGGAAAAGTAGTTATAAACAGATACTACATTGTAACAGAGTCAATAGTACTCAACAAAATAAATAATAAATATATTAAAAAAGATGTGTCAAGTACCTTGTGCTTAGATGACATGTAGTGATTTCTCGCATGTGGGAGGTCATGAGATTGAGACTTAGTGGAGGCGTTGTTGACTCTTGTGCTCTTTGTGCTTCACTAGGTTGAGAAAGCTTTGTTTATGAGTTTAGGCGGGAAAACTTCACAATCACTTTTGTTAATATTTACCAGTGCCCGATTAATCGGCGCTGGCCGGCCGCCTAGCGTATCACCATAATCTTTGGTTTAGGTGGCTAGGTGGCCGACTAGGCACCAACTAGATCACCTAGTCGGCCGATTACCTATTAAAGTATTAAGTAGTTTATAATTATCGTGTCTTAAAAAATTTTAAACAACTTTTTAAAAAATAAAAAATACACGGGCGCCTAGCGATTTTTTCAACTATGATATTTGCAATCACTTCTTCTTGGGGGTGCACTTTTGTTAATATTTACCAGTGTTGCAAAAATTCCGCCTAGGCATCGATTAATCGGCGCTAGGCGCCGGCCGGCCGCCTAGCGTATCACCATAATCTTTGGTTTAGGTAGCTAAGCGGCCGACTAGACCTCCTAGGAATTGACTAGGTCGCCTAGTCGGCCGATTACCTATTAAAGTATTAAGTAGTTTATAGTTATCGTGTCTTAAAAAATTTTAAACAACATTTTAAAAAATAAAAAATACATGGGCGCCTAACGATTTTTTCAACCATGATATTTACAATCACTTCTTCTTCGTGCGCACCCCCCACCCACCCACCCTCCGGTTCATGTAATAACCAACAAACCATACATGATGTAGTAAGAAGACCTTGTACACACACATGAGAGATAAATTACCCTAAGAAGCTACGACCATGTGCGATAGGCTGGAGAGAGAGATTGTTGACAAGAATCGAACTTGTAACTTTTAGGTATAATAATCATATTTTACTCACGTACTTGGGAATTCCTTATGAAGCGTCTCTGCTATTTTTCCACACGATGGGTCGGTGGCTCATTGCTCTTTTCACAAGATCCGAACATAAAAATTTGTTTAACAAGAATCAAAATCTTTTTTTGCTTGGATCATATATTAAAAATAGGAAAAAGTGTCTAATAGGCTACTGAACTTTTACAAATTGTGCAATATAATTGAACCATCGAACAAAAAAGTGTACAATTAGATCATTAAAAACTCAAAAATTATGCAAATAGCATTTTTTACAGGTTACTTCCAAGTTTCTCTTAAATATGATGTCAGAATGTCAAATTATATATAAAAAATTATTTTAATTATTATTTTTAAAAATTAAAAGATTGTTTTAATAAAATTATGTGTATGATAAATATCGAAATTTGGTGAATGATTAGATAGTTGACCCAATAATTGTTTGATTCTACTGAAGAGCATAGTCTGCAATGCTGAAAACTATTGGTGTTAAAGCTCTTAATTAAGTTGTCAATTCAAATTATTTGTACATCATGTTCTCTCCCTTTCTTCAGTCCAATGTTTGTGAAAAAAAATCAAAAATCCTTTTACTTAAATCTTATTTTTTTCCTTAATATTTCCCTTCCCTACTGTTTAATGCAATCTTTTATATATATATATATATATATATATATATATATATATATATATATATATATATATATATATATAACTAAACGAGAATCTATCATTCTTGTACTAAAGATCACCTGATTGTCACACCGCCCAAATTAGCAAAGCTATTAGCTTGAATATGAAGATCATGGTGCTTTAAGATGCACTTGAATTTGAGACCACACTCACAATCCATAATGGATGAACATGCATGAATCTCAGTTCTGTATTTACAGATGAGACAGATGACAGTCAAAACTTACAAATCCACAACACGAAAAATTCCCAATGTTTTAATAATGTCGTTATATGTTCCTTCCTAGGTCCTTGCCATTGAATATGTTTCTTGTTGGGAATAAAACAGGACATAATTGCCTAGTACGTAGAGAATTAGAGATTTTTTTCTGGGTTGAAGTTGCCGAACCATATTTTATTAATTTGGTTATGAAAATTGCAGAGAAACACAATTTCTTAATCTTTGAAGATGGGAAGTTTGCTGATAATGGACCTAGAATAATAGTTGACTCTACCTTATGAATTTTTTTTTTTAAAAAACTTTTAATTTTTAAAATAATTTTTTTAATATATAATTTGACATTATAACATCATATTTAAAAGAATCTTAGAAGTAACCTGTAAAAAATACTATTTGTACAATTTTTGAGTTTTTGATGGTCCAATTGCACACTTTTTTTATTCGATGGTTCAATTGCACAATGGGTAAAAGATCAATGACTTATTTAAACACTTTTTCCTTAAAAATAATATATTGTTCCTTTATTTTTTTTAATGTTCAACATTCAAACTATTGTAAGGTTAATCTTTTTTTTTTTTTTATTGAAGGAAGGGGATACCCTACATACACACTACTTGCCTCAAGTGAAGTTTGAACCTATCACCTCCCACTTAGGGGAGCAACTGGGTACCAGTGAATCAGAAGCCACTTGATATTGTAAGATTAATTTAGTACATACAAAAATCCAACTTCGAATTTGTTGCCGTGTCCAAATTATCAAAATTTAAAAGAAGGTGATCAAATGCTCTCATTAAAAGGAAAAAGAAAAAGAAAAATAAAGACAACTCAGTCATCTCCCCACCGGACCATAGCAAACAAGAAGACCGGCGGCGACAAATTATAAATTGAAGACAATTATTTAAAGAAGATAGGTATGTAGTAAATCAATTATAATTTTATAAATGAAGAAATTTATATATATTTCGATCTTTGAAATAGTACGTGTTTCTAGGTGGGAGTCAAACAAATAATTAAGATGAAGAAATATGTCAAAAGTTTATTGGCTCATAATTATCCCTCCTACCCCAACGACCTAATAAATGTTTGCTTGTCATTCTCTTATCTTCCATGGTGATGGATTCACAGTGATGATTGAGGATGTATATACCTTTTTAGAGTTTCTCCCCCTTTTTTTGGTATACCAAGAATTTTCACAGTCGGACACAATGATTAATACCCTCGCTGAATTGTAGGTACCTCTTTTGGATGAGACAGCTGGCCTGGAGATTTAAGACTGTTTCATTCCCAAAGTCAAGGATCGGACCCTTGACCTTTGGTGAAAGATGAATGAGTTCCTCCCATTCAACCACACCCTCCAGATTTTTTTTTAGAGTTTCTCAGTAAAAGTGCACAAAAAAATTAGAAATAAATAAAATAAATTAAACAACACCTTAAAAATTATACAACTCTAAAAATGCAAATTTATATGGGAGTCAAATTCAATTTGCACCTAATTCAAATTATATATATATATATATATATATATATATATATATATATATATAATTAAGTCAAGTCTCATCTCTTATCAAAACAATTAAGACCACGCACAAAATATAAATATGTTAGAATAGGGTAGGATGATACATTGATACTCATGATAGAGACTAGCAATATTTCAACTAATCTACACATCTATATATATAGGTGAAGTTGAATAATATTATATAGACACTGAAAATATATATCTATTTCAAGCTATCACGTATAACTAAAACTAAAATTCAACAATAATGCTTATTTTTTTGAATCAAAAGGAATGAAATACTTATGGAAACGAGTCCTTTCCTTGAAGACCACAAAGACAGTGATCACATCCAAAATTCATTGAAACTCTATTGAGAACAGCTCAATCAACCTAAGACCAAGAGCACGTCGAATACGTCTACCTATTAGCAAGATGGTCAGGTTGTAATTTTATTTAGCTCTTTATAACAATGTAAAATTCAAATCTCCTATTACCTTATCATCTCATATTTGTACTTCTCCCACAAATTCAATATAGACTTCCGAAATATTGCATCCCCTTTCAATAACTTAATAAACAAGTTTAGAGTACAGTAATATTTTTATTTTAACCTTCTAATTTTTTGTTAGTTACGTTGTTAATGCTTGATGGAATATATATTCATTT